TTCTCTATCGGCCTGTTCTCGTGAAATTTTCCCTCTTCTGCTATGTACTATCCTATCTTCTCGTCAATTTCTTGAAGATGAATGAACGAAGCAACTAGTGAATATCGACGAGTATTAACAGTTCAACAGAAAACCCTAAAAAAAACCCTAAAATCTACGAACGTGGTTCAAAGAAAAGAACCAAATCACTACGAGTGGAACAGACGACAGACATTAAATTATTAATAAACAAGAAGGAAGAAGAAGGTAGAAATTGTACCAGAGAGAACCAATTTGTTGATTCGATAATTTGAGTTACGTCCAACACTCATCTTCTAGATTCTGGAGTAGCAGTTCGAACTTTTCAATTCGGACGTAGCAATCTGAGAATGGACGGATGACGAGGCTGAATGTCATCATCAGAAAGGTCCTTTCGCAGCGTCAAACGTTTGATACTAGAAACCAATGGTAGAAACGCTTCGGTGACGAGCAATCAAACAAAGAATGGAGTATTACGGTGGCGGTTAATCGTTTTTCCCCTCCCCGCCCCCGTTCACAGGACGCTCGCACGCGTCCACGAGGTCGAAGCTTGCATCAAGTCGCAACAATGGCCCATTCTCATCGCGTCGCTCATGGCGGCGCAACAACACGAGGAACAGGAAGGCGGCGAAAATCCTGGAAACAGTGGCGTGGGCGTGAGGAGCTTGGCCGAGCACGTGAGAAAAGATCGGCCTGCGATCGCGACTGAGAGAGGCCACCCCCGGTGTGGTTTTTCGCTCGTCCATCAGAGAAACACACAGAAAGAAAGAGAGAGAGAGAGAGACACTGATTTTCCATCGCGAAACTCAACGCACGAACGTACCGGACGATTCCACGAAACGCCAGGAATGTCACGAAATGAAGAGTAAGTAGTCTATTAGTAATCAATGCGCGGAGAAACTTTGTCGAGCGGCGGTGTGCACTCGACGACGACGACGACGACGACGACGACGACGACGACGACGACGACGACGACGACGACGACGAGTGCAACGACCGATCGACGACGAGAACACACCCGGAGACCCTGTCTGTCAACCACTTTGACTCTTCCTCCTTCGTCGACCACGTTCACGAAATATCATCGTTGTATCGGGGCGACAGTGGATCGAGTGGGAATCGATTGATGATCTACTGCTAGGATAGAAGGAGATTTCAGGGACGTTGAAAGTGGGTCTTGGGGTTGGTACTTTTGGTTTATACACATTTAAATGGGAGAAAGAATTTTTTCGAAATTGGCAAGTGTCGGTGATCGCAAGGGTCCGAGAGTTGATGCTTGATTTAGATAATATGCAGGAGATGTAATGAAATAAAATTATAATAAAGTACTATATTATTATATATTTTACTATAATAAAATTATATAATTTTATTATAATTGTAATAGAATATTATATAATATTTTATTATAATAAAACTATATAATTTTATTATAATTATAATAGAATATTTTTATGTTTTATTTTATTATAATAAAATACTATACTATTATATATTTTACTATAATAAATTATATAATATTATTATAATTATAATAAAATATTATTATGTTTTATTTTATTATAATTATAATAGAATATTATTATATAATATTTTACTATAATGAAATTATATAATTTTTATGTTTTATTTTATTATAATAAAATACTATACTATTATATATTTTACTATAATAAAATTATATAATTTTATTATAATTATAATAGAATATTATTGTTTTATTTTGTTATAATAAAATATTATTATAGTATTTTATTATAATAAAATACTTTATTATACTATACTATACTATTTTATTACACTATACTACTTTATTACACTATACTATACTATAATAAAATACTTTATTATACTATACTTATACTATAATAAAATATTATAGTATTTTATTATAATAAAACTATATAAGTTTAATATAATTATAATAGAATATTGTTTTATTTTATTATAATAAAATACTATATTATTATATAATATTTGACTATAATAAAATTATATAATTTTATTATAATTATAAGAGAATATTATTATATTTTATCTTATTTTATAATAATAAAGTACTACATATTTATTTAATATTTTCCTATTTATTATATATTATATAATTTTATTATAATTATAATAAAATATTATCATATTTTCTCATTTTATTATAACAAAATACTATATTATCATATAATATTTTACTATAACAAAATTATATAATTCTGTTACAATTAGAATAAAATTCTAATAAATCCTATAATCAAATTTTGGACTTTGGATCCTCCTCCTTCGTTATTATTCTCCACAAGGATCACAGGATCACTCGATTAAAACGATCGGAGAATCCCAAGTATGTAACAATTACTTTAACCGACAGCGTCGTTGGATCGATCGCGAGATCGTTTAGAGGATCGTTCAACACTCCTGGATCGTGGCGAAATTCGCGAATACCATTCCCCCTCCGCCCCCCACTTGTCCCATAACAGCGACGCGGCGAGTTGCCACGAATGTTAGTTAGGGGAGGTGGATGCGAATGACTTGGCACGCTGGCAAAGGAAGCAAAATGAGATCTCGGATGCCATCGTCGGAGAGGATAGGAAAAAGCCTCCCGCGCGAGCCCTGCGAAACTCGGGGCACCCATTCAAACCTCTATCCCTCTTCCGACACTCCTCTCGCAGCAGTCAATCTAGCCGAGTCGCGAAAAAGGCAAGACGAAGGGAAGACGAAGAAAACGAAAAGAGATACAACGGTGGAAACAAAGGAGTGAAAGCGAACGTGTACGATCGAAACTTTCGACTGATTGTATGTGTGTATGTGTGTGTGTGTGTGTGTGAGAGAGAGAGAGAGAGAGAGAGAGAGAGAGAGTTGTTTGTCGTTTGGAAGGTCCTTGGCACCAGCTGCATCATGTGTGTAACCTGCTCATCGTAAACTAGACAGCTACGTCGCGGATCGAGCTGGATCGAGTCGTCCCGTTCCAAGTCCTCGGAACCGGCGTTGAAACAACACAGCCGCGCGCGTTCGCCTTACGTGGGTGAGAGACGAGCCTCTCCGATACACGGCGAGAGACTGAAAGAGCCACACACGATGGAAGGAGAGTCTCTCTCTCTCGATCCATGCATCGACGATTATACCGAATATACGTGCACGTGGAAAGTGAGACACCGAGAGAGGTGCACGTACACAGAGATTAATCCCGAGAGGATCCAGAGAGAGGGAGAGAGAGAGAGAGAGACTCTCAGGTACGCGAGCACGAAAAGGAAAAGATGCTGGATACAGAAGGACACGAACAGGAGAGAACACGACGAACACGAACGTGTGTACACGGACGTGGTATAAAGGGAGAAAGAGAGACGGATAGACAGCAGATACGGATATAACGAGGGAGAGGAGGGAGGGGAGAGAAGGAGAGAGGAGGCAGAGAGCGGGGCCGGAGCAGAAGGCGAAGGCCCTCTCTTTCTGGTGTGAGCGCGCGCGCGCGCGCGAGAGAGCCAAGCGTGGGAAGCTGCTGCACGCTCGGACCCGACACTGCACCGACACTGCACCGGGGCCTCTCCTTCGTGTGGACTCTCTCTCGTCGTCGAGTTTGTCGAGTTTCGTGCTACGAACGAGAATAGAGAGGAACGTTATATACCGGCCGGCGCGGAGCTAACGTCCTGGAGCGAATGTTATATAAGCGTCGCGAGGCGAAGCCGCGGCCAGAGAGTCTCTCTCTCTCTCTCTCTTTCACGCGAGCTAATTTCTGCAAAAATCGGAGAGGATTTGGCTGGTTGGATGACGATGTTGAATCGGAGGAAACACTGAGTTAATCTACATAAAAGTTAGTGATAACGGCAAGATCCAGTAAGTTGGTTCTTCCATGCTGATGGGGCCCAAAACCAGAGATTTCATTCGAAGAATTTGTTCAAAATTTTATTGAACCTAACCTAAAACAAAATTGTAAAAAAGGGATTCCTGATTCTTTTTTTTTTTTTTTTTTTACATTGTTTCAGTAAATTATTTCGAATGAAATTTTTTTCGAAGAGTTTATTCGAGATATTATGCGAATATAAAAAATTTTACTCGAAGCATTGACTCGAGTAAAATTTTTCATCGAATAATGCCCAGCTGTTTGTTTGAATAAAATCGTCATTCGTAAATGACGAATAATTTTTCTTCGTTAGTCGTTGTTTATGAATACATTTGATTATCAGATAAATCTGTCAAATTTGTTCGTTATTCGTATAAAATATGCCCAACTCTGCCCGAAACATGCTTGGAAGAAAACAAGGCGCATTTCTTTTCATCAAAAGAACACGATTGCAACCAAGAATAAACCTCTTCAAAATTATTAAGTGTGCCAATTCCATTACACAAAATCCAACAACGGACACTTCTTTCTATCTAGTTGTTTGATACTCTGAGCCCTTTGAAAGTTAGATTATTTTAATTAAATTATTTTAAAGTTAAAATATTTGAGTTACTTCAGAGGGAAGTATTGTAATTGCACTTCGTTCTGGTTTCTCCAGTCTTGTCTGGTATCTTCATTGCCGATCAAACGAATACGTATCGCTCGAGAGAAAAGAAGTACACCACTGGATACGTATTATCTTCTAACCTAAGATACATTGACTGTACCTTGGAATTCTACAGACTCCTCCCGGCTGTGCCCCAATTTTCCCATTTACGTAAATCACATTCCTCCTCGCCCTCCAGTCACGGAAGAAAATCCTAAATTCGACAACCTCTCCGGTTACCGGTGAACAGTATAAATTACGCGGGATGCACAGCCGGCCGGGGCAAGGGATGAACAGAGAAAAAGAGAGAAAGAGAACGGTCAGAGAGATCGTCTCTGTAATTTCATACACGGAATTCCTACAAAAGGAGGGATGTCACGCGCGATGCAGTCGCGATGGGAAGCGTGGGAGTGCACGCACGTTACGTGTACGATAATAGGCGCTCGGAGAAGGAAGAAAGAGAAAGAAAACGAAAAAGAAAAAAAAGGAGAGTGAGAGACTCACGTGTATTGCAGTAGTCACCCTTCCATCCAGAGAGGCAGACGCGCTCTCCGGTCGGGCTGCAGCTGTAATGACCGAAATTGTCGTCCCTCGGCCTGCACAGGTTCTCGCAACCCTTCCCGTAATAGTGCGCCACGCAAGTCACCCTGTACTCGTACACCATCTTCGCGTGAGCGCTTCTGTACTCGTCCTCGGTCCAATTCGGCCCGACGTCCAACCACTTTTGCGTAGTCAGCCTGGTGATCAGTACTTTCTCTGGAAATTAACGGAATTACGTCTGTGTTAAAACTTTGTGTTGGAACGTACGGGAGGAACTTTGTCGAGACGATGTCTTTTTCACTTTTGAAAGCAAGTGTAACTTTTTGTATAAAAATATCGTTCGTTGCTCGTATCTTCACTTGTGAAAGAAATAAAGAAAAGAGTGGTATATTGTTGTTATAGAAAATAGAAAAAAAGTAATGTATTATTGTCATAAAAAATAAAAATAAAAAAATTATTATCGTAAATGATAATATATTTATCGTTGACGACCAGTTGCTTTAATAGAGAAATAAGGATTAAATATTCGTCTATAACTTGATTCTATAAATATTCTAATAACTTCTGTATAAAAATATCGTTCTTCACTCGAGAAAAAAATAAAGAAAAAAGTGGTATATTATTATTATAGAAAATAAAAAAAAAGTAATGTATTATTATCATAAAAAATAAAAATAAAAAAATTATTATCGTAAATGATAATATATTTATCGTTGACGACCAGTTGCTTTAATAGAGAAATAAGGATTAAATATTCGTCTATAACTTGATTCTATAAATATTCTAATAACTTCTGTATAAAAATATCGTTCTTCACTCGAGAAAAAAATAAAGAAAAAAGTGGTATATTATTATTATAGAAAATAAAAAAAAAGTAATGTATTATTATCATAAAAAATAAAAATAAAAAAATTATTATCGTAAATGATAATATATTTATCGTTGACGACCAGTTGCTTTAATAGAAAAATAAGGATTAAATATTCTTCTATAACGTCTGTATAAAAATATCGTTCGTCGCTCGTATCTTCAACTCGAGGAAAAAATAAAGAAAAAAGTAGTATATTATTATTATAGAAAATAAAGAAAAAAGTAATGTATTATTATCATAAAAAATAAAAATAAAAAATTATTATCATACATGATAATATATTTATCACTGATGACCAGTTGCTTTAATAGAAAAATAAGGATCAAATATTATCAACAAAGTATAAAATTTTTAGCGACGGATAGCAAATTATTAATAAAATCAATATCGGTATTAAATAAAGTTCAGATAATTTCAACTGTATGATTTTTTTTTAATAAATTTAAAAATTTATTTAACATAAAATCTGAAATAAAATATAACGTTGAAACAATCACAATTATAAATAATATAATAAAATTATGAAATGTTATTATATATTCCATGTTGAAATGAAAATAAAAATTTTATATTTGAAGTTCAAGGTCAAAGCACTATTCCGCCATATTAAAATTTACTTGTCGAAAATATTCTATTTATTCTATTTATAATTAATAATGGAATTCACATATATGATTAAATGGATAATGATTTAATTGTTCCAATGGTGACTGATAAAACGTAAATAAAATAACATTCATCTTGTTCGGTTTTCTCTTTCCTTTTTTTAGACACAAGACGTGGAAATTTGTTTACAGTGAAAACTCCGTTTCCTTGTCCGAATATTTCCCTCTGACGGGGTAACAATTTTGTTTACGATATTTGCCCCGGAGGGAAGCAAATATCAATTAGCCTCGCTGCAATTCACTCGATTTACCAAGAGATTCGCTTCAATTGATACGAATACAATTAAGCCCTTCGTTTCCCTGACTGAAATCAATTCCAATTTACCACCCATTGACTCCGGCACGTTCGCCACGACTCCCACGTGTCACCGGTTTCCCCCTCCCAGAAAAACATCCCCAACAATACCACAGACTCTCACACGCTGTACCAAATCAACCGAACATTTTCAATTCAATTGGCACGACAGTTCTTTAACCGCGGCAATTAAACTCTCTCGCCAAATTGGAGCGCGACTGCTGAAATAATAAATTCAAAGGACACCCATCAAAGGACATTCTCATCAACGATTCGACGATTGCAAAATCTCACGACTGTCGAAGAAACGATGCAAAATAATACCCGGGAGAATGGAGAACAACAATAATAAAAAAACAAAAAAAAAAAAATAACACCCAAAGAACGATCCGATCGAGAAGGCAGCCCCCAATGCGCTCCAAAATTCCGCGAATCGACGCGAACGGAACTCGAACGAGTACTGAAACATCGATCGCCGACGATCATCGTCTCATCTTGACCCGTCTCGATCGATCAATCTCGAGAGAGAGAGAGAGAGAGAAGGAGGGAGAGAGGGTGCGGCTGCTAGAAGGCGGCGCGAAACGCGAAAAGTAATTAAGCATGTCCATCAGTAGATCAGAAAGAGAGGGACAGAGACAGGGAGAAGGAGGAGAAGTGAGGCGGCGGTTGCTGCGCCCAATGATGCGATCGAAGTGCATCGGCCTCCAGGCGAGAGAGATAGAAAGAGAAAGAGAGAGGGGCAGCAGACCGGACGTTCGTCCGCTATTGCTACTCCGCCGGCGGCACGCATCCGGCACAAAGAGAGTAAGCGTATACCACCGTTGTGGCTCTGGGAAAGAGGCGTTCTTCTTTTCTTCTTCCTTCTCTCTACCTCTCTCTCTCTCTCTCACTCTGTCTCTCTCTCTATACCTTCTCCTCTACATCGCCATCTCCTCCTCTTCTTCCTCCTCCTCGGTGCCTACCTGTTTTCGCAACCGAGTGGAGGAAAAGTAGGAGGAAGAAGAGCACACACGAGTTTCAGGGCTTCCTGCTAAACGTATTATCGTAATGGGCCGACAGATTAGGAGAGGATTCGTTCGCCCGTCGTTCTCAACCCCCGATCGTGTGCCCTACCCGAAAAAATAATGCTTGCCGTCTCACGATGCACCCAGCGCCCGGAGGAGCCCTCGATCGGACCAGTTTCACGCGAGTAGCATATATATATATATCCGGCCGTGCTGTACCGGTTACGTTGTGGTCGGTAGCGTAAGCAAGAGTTAAGTGGTCAGCCTCCGTTCTTTTTTTTTTTTTTTTCTTCTTCTTTTCTCCTTTTTCGCTGTTTTTCTCCCCTCTTTCCTTTTTCGCCAACAAAATTTTTCGGTTCCACCCCGAGACTGTTCCTCCGTGATGAACCTAATGAACGGTTCACTGGAACAACCTCGCGATCGCGCAGGGCTCTATTTCTGAAACTTCTGGCTGAATTTCGTTTTCTTCGTTTCGCTTCTCCTCCTGCTTTGTAATCGCTGGCGGAAAGTCGCGAGAAGGAAGAGAGTTTTTTTTTCTTTTTTTCTTCTTTAGTTTGCTGGTTAAGAGAAGGAATAAGTTTTTGAAGATGTGTGTTTGAGACAGGAACTGTCCTCTTTACCGAACTGTACGATATTAATTAATTTCTGCGTAATTCTAAAGAATCTCCATTCATTTTCAATGATGGTATCATTTCAGAAACACGACAAATCGGCAAACTAAAAATTAACCACTTGCACTGGCAACTGACTGCGGACCATAAAGAGCGACCAAGCGCCGTAATGCAATAATTCGTCTTCTTTTTGAACACATCGGTATATATCACCGATGATAGAAATTACTAGTAAGTAATAAATTTCTCATTTGTTTCGCCTGGATTATAAATACATAATATACCTAAATATACTTAAAACTGCGGAAATACTGCAATTTTTCGGCAAAAAAAAAAACGTCGTTCGAGGTTAAAATTAAAATGGCTCGCTTCTCTCGTCAGTGCATCGACGATTTCACAATTGTTGTTATCAATCGAAAACGCGCGTGGGATCGAACTAGAAAACGACGAAGAGAGAGAAGAAGCTCATGGGCAAGAGAGAGAAAGAAGGAGGAGAAAGAAGAGTAGAAAACAAAAGGAGGACGAAACGCAGGATTCGCCGATGGCGTGCCCGGCGATACTTAAACAGGGATACCCAGGGCCCACTATTCCCAGAAGGGAAGTAACGTTTTGCTGTCGGCGAAACGGGAGTCGAGGGAGAAGCAGTTTACCAAGCCTATCTTCCCAGGTGATGCTGTTACGAGTTCTGAAAACGCCGATGTTCGCACGCCACCGCCGCAGATGGACCGTGTGGTACGCGCGATCGACTCCGTTTCGTCGTCCTTCGTCTTTCGCAGCATCGATTCGCACGGCCCGATGCTTTCGTTTCTCTCCTTTTTCTCATCTCCCGTCGCTTCTTTTCCACACTCGCGTTCGCGTGTTTCTCCATTCGCCTCTTTCTCGAACGTGGACGAATTTTTTTTTTTTTTTTGAACGAAATTAACAACTTGCGCTGGCAACTGACTGCGGACCGTAACGAGTGACCGTACACAACAATTCGTCGCTTCCTTTTTCTAACTACAGTCGGATAGAAATGATTGCGAAGTAATAAATTTATTATTTGCTTATGCTAAAAGAGATTTTCTCGACGTGCGTGGCACGTCATTCACAGCGCGGTTAGGTGAAAAAAAAAAAAACGTGCAGAGAGAAGCGTCGTCTGTTTACGTTGAAAAAAATCGTATCGAGCAACTGATTTCCTGGGTGATTTCGTTAACGAGAAAACTCCCTGTTGTTTCCTGGGTCGCTACGCGTCCGTACGTGTGGATTTTGCTCATGCATTAAACATTCCGCCGTTGAAACGGAATTATTCATGCTCGCGTATAAGCGGGCAGTTCATGCTCGCGACTAATGTCGGATCACGAATCAACAGGGACGCAATAAGGAATCACAGTCGGACGAGGGCTTAATAACGATGCGCCGAAAAGCGCCATAACTCGACGAAATCAATTAATTTTGCAACTTTCGCGCCTTGTATTTAATTGTAATTTCGAATCAGGGACGAAAGACGTTTTCGTCGAGATGTTTTTCACGATCGATGCAATGGCCACGAGATGAAACACTCGTTTCAAAATTACACAATGACGAATATTCGAAAGATTAAGAATTAAAAAAGAAAAAAAGGAAAATGACCACGCGACAAATAAATGAAAATGTCCATGAAGAATGCAACTGTTGCAAGAAGAAAAATAGAAAAGCAAGTAATCGACGATTGCCATCAATCGAGCATCATCCCTTGTGATTCCCTTGCGCTGGCAATTGATTGCGGACCATAACGAGTGACCGAACCCGTAA